CCCGCCGCCCAGGCCCCGCCCCCTCCCCGGCGGCGGCGCGCGAGCGTTGGAGGCTGTGGCCTCAGACTCCGCAAACCCGGCTGGGAGGGTACAGCGGGACTTACAGTTCCCCGAAGTAATCCCTACCCCAAACAAACAACTGAAAACAAAAGCCCTGGCTGAAATCATTAGAGAACCCATCATGCGTTAATAATCTAATCACGGTTTTAGTTTATGACGAGAACCAGAGGCAGTACTTTTCCCACTTGACACCAATAAGACACTAGAGCTAGTCCTGTCCACTGTATTACAGGAGGTCCCAAAACATCTCCAAATTCAAACAGCTTCGCTTTCTTCCTAAAAACAGCACAATATGTACTATTACATAAAATAGTACAATATGAGGACCATGAGGCTGATATTTTCATTTTCTTACAAGAAATCTCACCTGCGTGAAGCAAAACTGATAAATTCTCTGGATTCCAGCGTAGAAGCAGTCTCCTGCCCAATCTCCTCATCAAATACAATCTATTTTCTTTCATTAAAACCCAGGAGAGCTTCTTTTCACCTGTTTCTTCTGAGAGAGACCAAGAGAGAAGAAAAAGAAAAAAGAAGAGAGAGGGAGGGAGAGAAGACAAGTGGCTTAATGGATTCTGCTTATGTGCCTAATGAAGGTCTAAGGGTCATCTTGGACCCTCGGTTTTATAGTCAAGAACCTATCCAGGCCTACAAAGCGGGCAGGGCCGGGCTTGGGCTCCTGAGGAGAGAGCTCTGGATAATGAGGACCTGCCACAGGGAAGAAAAGGTTAGTCCTCCTGGACCAGTATCAGTGAGACTAGTGCAAATACAGTGTTCACATCTTCCAAGTGCACATTACGTGGGTCTTCCCCATGTCAGTAGAAAAGAGTGCTGTAAGAAGTACAAAAAAGAACAAAAGAGGCCGAACAGCGTAGTTAGAAGTGTCAAACAACATCTTGTTGGAAATAGTTGAAGAAGACAGACGCGGTTAACCAAGAAAAGAGAAAGGAAAAACACTAGATGTAGCTGATGCGTAGTAGTATACCTCCCCAGAGCTGTTTACTCATTCAGCAAATATTTACTGAGCTCCATTATGTGGAAGGCACTGAGCAAGTGTGTGTGTGTGTGTGTGTGTGTGTGTGTGTGAATGAAGTACAGTCTCTGCTTTGCAGCAACTTAGCTATCCTTAAGGTAAGTGGTTGTAACTCTCAGTCAAGTGCGCAAAGGGTATTCTGGAGCCAGATGTGTTAGCCCACACCTGTAATCCCAGCACTGAGAGAGTAAGGCAGGAAGATCACTGCAAGTGCAAATCCAGCCTGTGCTACAAAGTGAGTTCAAGGCCAGGGTGAAAGGTATAGTGAATCCTTGCCTAAAAAAGAGAAGAGACAGAGACAGAGAAATGGATATACCAGCGCAGTATACAGGAAGTTACTTTGTCTGATGTTAATGGTGTGTTCTACAACGGGAGTACCTGGCTTAGAATCTCAGCTCTGCCCCTTACTATAGGACCCTGGACAAGTCACTTAATCTCTTTCTTTCTCAAACATAAAAGAAAAATAGTAATAGTACCTGCACCACTGGGCTGTGCCACAATTAAATGTCTTAATATCTATGATATGCTTAGACAAGGGCCTGGCATACAGTAAATGTAAAGTGACAATAGGGGATCATCAAGGCTCCTGAGTTTGTGGAATCTGTGAGAATTACCCCAATTTTTTATTATATAGTGTTTTGTCATTTACAAAACACATAATATCATTTAATAGGTGTGGTGGCACATGCCTATAATCCTAGCACTTAGGAAGTTGAGGCAGAAGGATTGTCAGTTTGAGGCCAGCCTGAGCTACATTAGGGAGTTCAACACTAACCTGAACTACATAGTGGTAACCTGCCTCAAAAAAATCCCCAAAACATGGGCCAGCCAGATAGCTTAATGGATTAATGCACCTGCTTAGGCAGACGCAGCTGCCGGGGTTCAATCCCCTGTGTGCCATACCAGCCCTGCCCCTGGGACATGCTGAGACTTTGATTGAGACTGGGTATGGTGGCACGCTCCTGTAATCCCAGCGCTTGGGATGCTGAAAAACAGGAAGGATTACTACAAGTCTGATCTGTGTAGTGAGACCCTGTAAACCATGTACTTAATACCAAAAAAGAAAAAAAAAAAAAACCTCCCCAAAACAAAGATACATATCTAGATAGATGGATACTCTTCTGAGACCCTAGTAAGGTAAGCCAGAAGATGTAACTTGGTAGTTAGTATCAGAGATGCCATGTGATACTCACATGCCCAGATGGCTATTTAATGGCCAACATACTGAATAGAACAAGCTCCTGAATTTCCTTCTTGGCAGGAAACAGGAGAGTAGTGCTGTCCTCAAAGGAGTGGCTGCAAACAGAAGGAAGAAAGAGGCCAAGAGGGAGAAAGTTCAGCCTGTTCCCACCATGACCATGCCCAGTGTGCTGTGGCTGAAAATTCACCTTTCTATAGAAACAGTGGCCAGGTGCCTTAAGTATTTAAGATTCTAAAGCTGACAACTTCCCAAGGGCAGAGAAAGCCACACACAGTTGCTTAAGACTCCAGAACCTTCCACAGAGCAGTAGTTCCTGCTTCAGAGCAGTAGTTCCATGAATGTTATTATCTGAATTTAGCTATATCATTGCTGGCATATTTCCAGAACACTGTGCATTCACTAGGTTCTCAAGGACTGTGAGAACCTCACCCTTATCTCAACACAGGCTCTATGTGGGAGTAATGTTCCCATTCTAAGATCTATTCAAAAGAATTCTTTGTGACTCCCACTGGTTGCTTTTTTTTCTCTCTCTCTTCTTTTTCCTGTTCTGAAAAACCTGTCAGGGCCAAATAAAAGGTGTGTGAACTGGGAATGAAGCCAAAAGGGTGAGGAAAGATGAGTCAAAGATTTCCCCATAAAACTTGACGTCATAATCCCAAGCTCCACTCCTAGCCTTCCAGGGTCCAGTTTACTGTATAACTCCTTCCCCCAATCTCTCCTACGGATAAACCATGTTTTCCAGTACTTTTTCAAACCTCCACATTCATGAGCAGTCCTGTGCCCAGCTAAGTACCCCACAAACACTTCTCTCCATTTGAGCTTCCCTTCACACTCCAGCCTCAATCTCTTCTGCATTTACCTCCAGACTAAATGGCTTGAACAGGATAATACCTTAAGGGCTTCATGAGGCAGTAATTTTTCAGCTTCCTATAAGACAGTAGTTCCTAGATTTGTCAACCTCCAAGCTCCGTCACTACCTAGCTGGTTGGCCTTGGGCAGATTCAACTTTTTAAACTGCTTTTTCTTCATCCTCACATTGAACCTATACCATGGGGTTGTCAAGGATCAGATGATAGAGCACATGTTCTATGGACTGAGCTATATTTTCCTCCAGATTCCTATGTTGATGATCTAATCCCCAATATAATGTCCCTTAGAGATGGGGCCTTTGGAAAATAATTAGGTTTAGGTATGATCCCTAGTATAGTGAGGACCTCAAGAAGAAACCCCAAGGAGCTTGCTGTCTTACTTTTTATGCATTGAGAGATTGCAACAAGATGGCTGATTGCAAGCTGAGGAGAGTTCTCATGGCAAACCAAATGGGCCGGAATATTGGTGTTTGCTAGTCTGTGGAACTATAAGCAATAAACACCCACTATTAAGCCACCTAGTCTACAATGGAATGAATGTTTACATATCAAAAACAGAACAAATTTTGTATCTTATAATACAAGCTCCCAAGGTGATGGTAGTAGGAGGTGGGGGCTCAGACAGTTGATCAGCACATGAGAACACAGTCCTCCTGAGTAGGATTCATGCCCCTGGAAAAGAGGCCCAGAGAGCTCATTTGCCCCTTCCACTAGGTAAGGACAGAGCAGACAGCTTATGCTGTCTGTACTTAAGGAAGTGGGCCCTTGTCAAACAGCAGATCTGCCAGGCCCTTGATGTTGGCCTTCCTAGCCTGTGGAACTGTGAGAAACAAATGTTCGCTATGGACAAGCCATCCAGTCTATAGCATTTGTTACAGATGCCTGAACAGATTAAGACACAGCCAACATTATTTTGTAACGCATCCAAGAGGACTAAGCATATAATCCCTAATTTGCCTTCTCATTCATTCATTAAACAAATATACTCTCAATGATTCCCATGTCCCAGAAACTAGAGATTTAGCACTAAAGAAGCAAACAAAACACAGGCCCTGCCTTCATGGAGCATGAAGTCCACTGGGGAGAGATAACAGATACCTGTACAAATATATAACTATTAGATGAGTGATTCATCTTGTGGAAAAGTTTAGGAGACTGTGAGAGTAGTACATAGATCTACTTCACTCTGAGAGTTCAGAATTTGTTTTTGGAGAAAAACACATTTAAACTAATGAGCTAAGCAAAGGTGAGGAAGAAGACAGAAGAGAAGAGAAAGTTCCAGACAGTAGGAATAGCACGTTTAGAGCCCCTGAGGCAGAAGAGAGGATGTATGGTTGGGTTGTAGAGAGGAAGGCAGAGCCAGATTTGAAAAGGGGCCAGAGAGGTTGTGGGAAGTTGTTGGCCTGTGTAAGAAGCCTGAAACTCCTCCCAAGTGGAAACCCAGCAGTCCCACCCACTTTCATGCCCCCACTCTTGTATACCACATACATCGACATCACTGTCCCAGGATTTGTGGTAAATCAACTCTTTCCATCTTCCAGCTCATGTAATTCAGTTAAGATGATCTTATCCCCAAGTCCAATAGTGGACAAATGACCTAAAATCAATCACCTAGTTTGGGTGTCCTGTGTATAAATCATGGAAAATAACTCT